AATGCCAAACCGATTGGCACCACCATTCCCCAAGCCCCACCTCCCCTGGGCTCAGCGTCTCTTCTTGATAAAAGTGCTTTATACTTAGGCTTCACTCCTACTCAGACAGAGCACCCACTTGGACACAAATGCCTTCCTAGTACCTGCTTGGGTTGGCCCCTGAAACACACACACTCACACATGTGCATGAAACACGTGTGCACACAATGGGAGCTACACAATCACACACATGGGTACCCTTATGTGTGCGCATATACACATGTACACATACATACACTTGCACAGTCGGGAGCACACACCACCACACCCACATACCCATGTGTATGCACATACATACATGCGTGCTCACACACACCACAGCTATGTTCCCAGGAGCGTGGGATGGTGTCACGGAATAGCCCCCTCATCTAAACCAAGGGTCTCTGTGTGCAGGAGCAGTGAGTTGGCTGTATGGCCATGTTGGGGTACCTGATCCCCTCAGGGCAGCCATCAGCCCCATCCCACAGGAGCCACCCTTCCCAGGGTGCTTCTTCCCTCCCTCACAGCCTCCCTCCCTCCACATTCTCCCTCATTTAATCCCAGTACATTCTTTCTCATCATTCCCGTTTGGGACTGGGCTGCCCAGGATCCCTGAGGGGCTGGTGTAAAGATGTGAGGTTGCCTGGGCACCAGGGTGGGGACTGGTGCTGGACATGGCAGGGTGTCCGGTACCACTCACCCAAGTCTTGTATCCAACAGTGGGTATTTCTTTTCAGCTACACAAACCGGGGATCCAGTGCCCGAGTGACTGACCAGGCCCCTCAGATGGGGCATGGGGTGGACCCCGGTTTCTCTGGCCCCCAACCCACGGCCTGCCATCCTTATCCAGTGAGGAGGGCGGCCCCAGGCTTCGGAAGCAAACCTAGACACCCCCTTTAGGTGCAGCAAGGGCTGTTTGCAAATGGGAGCTCCCCCAGAATAGGACAAAACCATAATTCCCAACTGTCCAGCACTGCTATGAGAGGTTTGCATTTTACTTTGTAGGCTTGACATTCTGATACCATGTAACACTTTACATAATTATAGAACAAACTGAATGCATAAGAAGCAATCCCTAAAAATCAAATGAGACGAAGAAAGCCAGCTGACCGGGTGCTCCGAGGGTCTTGAACATGGAGATGTGACCCCAACAGCGGCCAAGAATGGGACACTCACAAGATGTATAACACTTTACATAATTATAGAACAAACTGAATGTATAAGAAGCAATCCCTAAAAATCAAATGAGACAAAGAAAGCCAGCTGACCGATGGCAGGCGGAGTCGGGTGCTCCGAGGGTCTTGAACATGGAGAAGTGACCCCAACAGCGGCCAAGAAATGGGACACTCACAAGATGTG